AACACAGGAAAGGAGGGATAACAGGTATACCACACTAAAAGAGAAAAAATTAACTGGAACTAAGAAATATATACTAGAAGCCCACAAATCCTTGTTTATAAAAAGTGAAATTTAATTTTTTTGAAGGTATCAATTATAGATATGCAAGTAGGACTGGGCGCGTACCTGGTGGAACGATCGTTCTTTCCCGAGAAAGAACGGAACGATCAAGAACGATCCCATTCTTCCGAAAAAAAACGCTTCGAACGTGTTCTTAAAAATTTTTAAACGATTAGTAAGAGAACCGAACGGGAATTGCGTGAAAAGAACGGTTAAAATCCTTAACATTTTCTTATTTTCAAGAACGCATTCTAAGTTGGGAACGCAATTTAAACAGGAATGTGTTTCCAGTTCAGATTTTCTTTGTATGTAGTGAACCAAAATTGAAAGATAGAATTATTGTAAATGACATTAGACACAATAATATAGGTAAGTAAGGAGGGTTAAACATGTAGGGTTCAGGCCAGTACTCTGGGTCAAAGTGTACAGCTTGATTGCATATTGCAATGGTTGTACCCTAGATACAAAAAAAAGGGGGAGAATTTAGGTGACAAGAAATTGTTTCCTATAATTTATTTCTATATCTTTTTGAAATATTGATCATGAAAATTAAATATTTTTCAAAAAATCTACAAATTGTACATCCCCTTGTTTTAAGGTAACCTGGTTTTAATAATTGTACTATACTAAGAACGGAACGGAGGGATGGAAACGTTCTTTGACTAAGAACGGAACGAGAGGGATGGAATGGTTCTTTAAATAAGAATGCCAAGAACAGAACTGAACGGGAAGACCGTATTTCTACTCAGAACGGAATGGAACAGAATGGAACGAAACGGAATGATACAAGAAAAAAGAAGGAGAACGGAACGATTTAGCAGAAGGCCCTCATTCTAGAACGGAATGGAACAATTTAAAAAAAGGCGGAACATGCCCAGCCCTATATACAAGAATATAGATCGCTAATCCTGACAAGCGGAGGAAGGCAGGCGGCCATGAGCCACCACTATTTCCCCTTCCATGCCACATATTAGCCTTTTCTCTTCCAGCAGCCATGAGCCACCACTATTTCCCCTTCCGTACCACCACATTTGACTCTTCCGGGCAAACTACTTTTTTAAATGGTATATTTAGGGCCTTTAAAGTGTGATTTTAAAAAAATCCAGCCGAGTCACGCAAAAAAGCACAACTCAAACAATTTTTTCAATTCTACTTAAGATTAATGATTAATATTGTGTTTGTTGAATTCTTAAACTGTTTAACAATGAAATTTTTGACAAATTTGTCTAAGGATTGCATCTTGAAATATCACAAAGTCTAATGATTATTCAATTACTGTATGGTGTATATTTCTTGTATGGAAAAAATTCATTCTAAACTTGATTTTTCATTTAGATTCAATTGAATATTATTACATCGCTTCCCGTTTTCATGACTTGTTCACATAAAATAAAAGTTAGAATGGATCCAACCTTTTCAAGTTTTCCATAGTTTCTTCTTAAATAAATCCACAGAAGAAGAAAAAATCCGGCTAAAAGCCACAGAAACATTATGTTAGTGTAATCTGAAATTATTGATTAGCATGTTTAAATTGTTTATACCATGCATTAAAGATATGATCAAACTTTTTGTGTATGTCTTATAAACGAACTCTTCAATCCTCTTAAACCCAATCGATTTGATACTAACAGATAATCTGAATTTTGATTTAACAGATTACAGAAAAGTTTATTAAGTTTAACTAGCTTACGTTAGGTACAACTTAAAACTTAAAACACCGTTAAGATTATTTTAAAAATAGCAGAACTGCGTAGTTTCTCCTAAACTGTGAGATGTGGACTTAATTCTTACTGTGCTTATTCTACATTATAGGCACTACGCGAACTAGGTGCACTGGCGCAGTGCTCTCAGTATGAGAACATTGTACTCCTAACTTTGTACTCTGTGAACTCCTCCATTATACTCTATTTTGATCCTACAAAGGTTAGTGTGCACATATCCACGCTGACTTGTATATTCTGATTTCTGTATGTATACTGCACATTTGCACAACACCCAATTACTGGAATTTGAAGATGGAGGTGGGGTGAGTGGGTTGGGATCAAAGAAAATTTAATATATATTAGAGCGAAATTTAGAGAATCTCTCGGTATTAATTTTTTCAGTCCCAGTCCCTTTCAGCCTGAAAGGGAGTTCAAAGTCTACAAATCACGTAAATGTTCACAAATTATGTGCAATAGAGTACTTTACAATGAATTAGGTGAATAAAAAACATCATTAGATTTATAGTTATATCGAAAAATCATAGTTTTTTAAATGAAATGCATAGAGTCTATGTGAAATGATCGTTGGTCAATTATAATTTGGTTTTCTTTTAATATTAATTTTAAATTCCCCTCAAATATATATTCTATTCTCTTTGGGTTGGATGCACATTAATCAAAACACGATGTGACATGTCATGAAACCACTTTACTGAAAATGCCAACTAGAAAAAATGTTTTTGCCAATGCCAACTCTTCAGAAACAATTAATTGTGAATCGATCATGGAGGATAACTTAAAATTAGACAATTTTCCCTTTAAGAAAGGATCAATTGAATCAAATAGAAGAATAGAATTAAATCAAAACGAACATCAAACGATACCAGATAAGAAACAGATAATTAAAACAGAAGAATTTCAAATTTGAAACTTAACTGTCATTTGTTAACTTGCAACTATAAAGAATTTAAGTTTTTTTGGGCCATTTTTTAAATTAGAATAATATTTTTTTATAGTTTGGAAATCACAAATATATAAAACATTACAGTTATCATAAATTGAATTGGCAATTTGAAAAATTGAAATTTTAATTTTTTTTCTATATGGTGTAATAAGAATTGCTAATCGTTTTTAAAAACGATCGAAAAAAAGATAGTTTTTCTCTCGTTTTTATTTTTAAAAACTATTGTTTTCGAAAACGACTGTTTCGTTTTTCGTTTTTTTTCGTCGTTTTTCAAACGAAGCGATCGTTTTAAAAAAATGAGAAGGATCCATCCCAAGGTGCAAAGTTTTTTTAAATTTTGAGTATTTATTCAAATATATATCTGCGGGGGGGGGGTGATGCCTCTAATGATGGTGAAGCAGAAGTTAGAAGGAATGTTGATGCTATCTACGGTTGCCGAATTGACAAATGGAATTATCACAATGGTTTATAACATTAATATTTGGAAGGTTTCCATCAAAGTTTAAGATTATCAGTTTTCAAGGGCACAACAAAAGTCCTTTGTATTTTGATTATATTTGTACAACTAATTCATTAACAAATTTGTTTCGTAAATTTTGTAAGTTGATCTTGATGTGATTTTGTTTTGTTAGAACTCACCTCTAAACGTACTTTTCCTGGAAAACTACAATCTCAAGCGTTTTAATTGTCGTAACTTCTTTGGTCTTTGATTTTGCATTTCTAATACCATATGTTTTTTGTAGCCCTGGACATGTGTATTCTAAAACTACAGTGCGCTTGCTAAAGTTATAATTTTAAAGGAGTAAATGATTTTAGGCTGATAGATTTTTGAGTGAGAGAATGCAATAATATTAGGTCATTTATATATTTTCTTAGTGACAAAACATGTAAAGAAAATCTCTTCAGATAAATGAAAATCGTAAAAAAGGCATTAAAATATTTTTCATACTCAAGTTGTGTGAAGTATATAATACAGATAAAGTAATATAGAACACTTTTAACATATTCGGATTATAAACAATGCTTTTTGATAAATAAATCGTTATTAAGTCGTTACATGTTATTACTACGCAGTCTATGCATATCATCATATTCAGATAAATACGTTGTACACTGTTCAATGTACAAAGTAAAAAAGGATAGAAATGATATATTTATTATTTTTAAATGAACTTCTATTAATTCTATAAATTCTACATACATACAGGATTTATCAGGGGGAGAGGGGACTTGTTTTAACATGGTAAATACTGGGGTTTTAAGTTTTCAAAGGGTTCCTCAGTTTGATTACCACCAAAAAAGTTCTTTAAAAAAGTTTGCCAAAAGAAAGTCCTAAATTTTGGCACTAAAAGAGCTCTGTGGAAAAGTCCTTGAAATAAAATTGTTTGGAAATTAAAGTCCTATCATTTTGAGACTTTTTGTCTGGTTCCATTATGATTTTATGATTTTATGCAAAAAACTCTCCGGAAAAAAATCCTTTTACAGTGTAAAATGCATGGGAACAAGGGATGTTTACAACCATGGAAAAAAGGGGCAAATGGTATTAAAAACACCCCTGGCTATGTTAAATATGCAGATGCCTAGAAGAAAAGTCCGTTTTATGAAAACGCCTAAGACTTGACTTCATTTTCCCGAGACATAGAACTTTTTTACTTTAGGACTTAAATTCCTGTGATCTAATTTCCCGAGACTATATTGGCATGCCCCATATTATTATACTATTTTAGGAAAAAAAGTTCCAGGAATCTAAAACTCAGGACTTTATTTCCAGTGACATTTTTTCCTAGGACTTCAGAAAATGGGGACTTTTTTACAAAAGTTTTGTTTCCAGGGATTTTTTTTCAGAAACTTTTTTCCTGTGAATTTCTTACAAAGATTCCATAGGTTTAGCATTAATTTTATAATTCTTCTTAAGTCTTCTTTTGAAGATGTGTTGATCTTTTGTACAAATATTTCAATTTGAAAATTTAATAATCAATTTGATAGCATTTAATGTTTTACAGTTTTATTAAGTAGAACTGTTAAATTTCACATTGTATAAGGTTACAAAGATAATCGGAGGAGAAATAGAGGTAAATAACATTCTTTATTTCAAGGGACAAACTGGCTTAACCGATTAACAACGCTACCCAATAAACCTTTTCTTCATTAATAATATGGAAGATTTTTATATATTTTTATATATTTTTATAGCTTGTAAACGTTTAATTCTGACAATTTACTATGTTGTTATTTTATTTCTTCATTTACTCTCTTAATCAGACAAAGGTTTTCAGGGTAACGTTGTGAATCAGACACTTGAAATTATGTGTCCCTTAAAAGGAACACATATTGCATAATAATTTTGTTCTAGTCTACCCAAGGATAAAGATCTGGACACTGCTGACATGTTTTCATGTACTTTAAACCAGTTCTATGCCACAGCGTACATAGATTAGGAGTTGTACAGCGACCTCGGTTCTGCAAATATAGTTTAATTTATTAGAAAGCCCGTCTTATAAATGTTTAAATGCATCTATGTATATATATATATATATATATATATATATATATATATATATATATATATATATACATATACCTTTTATACACACTGGAGGGGTTTCAATGTATCAATGTTCTATACAGGGTGTCCCAATAAACATGGGAATGAAGAGACGACTTGAACAGCGTCTTTGATTTCCAATAGCTGAGAAATGACAACGAGTGTAACAAATTTTCAAGGTGCGAAAATGGTAGACCATATTTTGGAATTAGCAGTTTTAGGTGTTAATTGTTTTAACTTGGAAACTACTAAAATTGTGGTCACGTAATAATGCTGCATGGAACAAAGAATATATAGAAGTCGTCAATTAATTCCCATGTTTATTGGGACACCCTTTATATATAAATAATATACCTTGTATACACACTGGAAGGGTTTAAATGTATCAATGTTCTGTATAAATATAATATACCTTGTATACACACTAAACAAATTTAAATGTATCAATGTTCTGTATATATATATACCGTGTATACACACTGGAAGGGTTTAAATGTATCAATGTTCTGTATAAAATATAATATACCTTGTATACACACTAAACAAATTTAAATGTATCAATGTTCTGTATATATATATATACCTTGTATACACACTGGAAGGGTTTAAATGTATCAATGTTCTGTATATATATAATATACCTTGTATACACACTGGAATGGTTTAAATGTACCAATGTTCTGTATAAATATAATATACCTTGTATACACACTAAACAAATTTAAATTTATCAATGTTCTGTATATATATATATATATATATACCTTGTATACACACTGGAAGGGTTTAAATGTATGAATGTTCTGTAAATATATAATATACCTTGTATACATACTGGAAGGGTTTAAATGTACCAATGTTCTGTATATATATATAATATACCTTGTATACACACTGGAAGGGTTTAAATGTATCAATGTTCTGTATATATATATAATATACCGTGTATACACACTGAAAGGGTTTAAATGTATCAATGTTCTGTATATATGTATACCTTGTATACACACTGGAAGGGTTTCAATGTACCAATGTTCTGTATATATGTATAATATACCTTGTATACACACTGGAAGGGTTTAAATGTATCAATGTTCTGCAATATATATATATATATATATATAATATACCTTGCATACACACTGGAAGGGTTTAAATGTGTCAATGTTCTGTATATATATATACCTTGTATACACACTGGAAGGGTTTAAATGTATCTATGTTCTGTATCGGTGTAGGATCTCTCATCCACTGTATCGCCTGCCATGCAGTCACCACCCAGACATCTTCCATGGATATTATTGTATCCAAGAATAGATCAAATCCTTCTTTATGATGAGGAGTAGTAAACCTAAAAAATTATATTTTTGGTTCATGTTTGAAACATCGGTTTTAAATTGGGAAAATTTATATAAGAATAAGACAAATTGGTTATATGTTAGTCTATAGAAAAGATTAAATACAGTTCTACTAAAAGATAGTGACTACCTTGATAGTGACTATATATTACTGCAGGTTGGTTCGTAGAAAAGATTAAATGGAGCTCTATTAGTAAGATAGTGACTATATATTACCAGGTTGGTCTACAGAAAAGATTAAATGGAGTTCTATTAGTAGAAGATAGTGACTATATATTACCATGTTGGTCTATAGAAAAGATTAAATGGTGCTCTATTAGTAAGATAATGACTATATAATATATATTACTGTGTTGGTAAATGGAAAAGGTTAAATGGAGCTCTATTAGTAAGATAGTGACTACATATCACCATGTTGGTCTATATAGAAAAGATTAAATGGAGCTCTATTAGTAGAAGATAGTGACTATGGATTACCAGGTTGGTCTACATAAAAGATTAGATGGAGCTCTATTAGTAAGATAACGACTATATATTACCATGTTGGTCTATATAGAAAAGAGTAAATGGAGCTCTATTAGTGGAAGATAGTGACTATATATTACCATGTTGGTCTATAGAAAAGATTAAATGGAGCTCTATTAGTAGAAGATAGTGACTATATATTACCGTGTTGGTAAATGGAAAAGGTTAAATGGAGCTCTATTAGTAAGATAATGACTATATATTACCATGTTGGTCTATAGAAAAGATTAAATGGAGCTCTATTAGTAGAAGATAGTGACTATATATTACCATGTTGGTCTATAGAAAAGATTAAATGGAGCTCTATTAGTAAGATAATGACTATATATTACCAAGTTGGTCTATAGAAGAGATTAAATGGAGTTCTATTAGTAGAAGAAAGTGACTATATATTACCACGTTGGTCTATAGAAAAGATTAAATGGAGCTCTATTAGTAGAAGATAGTGACCATATATTACCATGTTGGTCTATAGAAAAGATGAAATGGAGCTCTATTAGTAAGATAATGACTATATAATATATTACCGTGTTGGTAAATGGAAAAGGTTAAATTGAGCTTTATTAGTAGAAGATAGTGACTATATATTACCAGGTTGGTCTATAGAAGAGATTAAATGGAGCTCTATTAGTAAGATAGTGACGATTAAAATTCTCCATTATCGTCAGGTACACATCCTTTAATTCAAAAATAGATAGTTAATTTAATATTTTATATTCACGTATTCTGTTTCAAGAAATAGGAATCTGAAAAATTTAAGTTTTCTAATTTTTTCTTGAAAATTAATTTTGCTTTTAAATAACAAACCTTTAAAATGCAATAAAAAGACAAGAATTTAACAATTGGTTTAAAAAATAAAATTTTTGAATTAATTAACTATTTATGTATTCCTGAGCTGTTGAACCATATGAGCATGCGTCCCCCATGGAGCAGCGTCCTCCTGAATACAAAACATTAACTTAAGGGATTATCACTATCCCTGTAAATAAAAACCATCCGATTAATGGGATTATCACCATCCCTGTAAATAAAAACCATCCGATTAATTGGATTATCTGCCTCCCATGAACACAAAAATCAGATTAAAGGGATTATCTGCCTCCCATGAATACAAAACATTAGATTAAAGGGATTATCTGCCTCCCCTGAATACAAAACATCAGATTAAAAGGATTATCTGCCTCCCCTGAATACAAAACATCAGATTAAAGGGATTATCTGCCTCCCCTGAATACAAAACATCAGATTAAAGGGATTATCTGCCTCCCCTCCCCTGAATACAAAACATCTAGGTTTAAAATCAATAAACCCAACATCTAACTTATCTTTTATTAGTTTTGCATGACAATTAATAAAACAGCTTTGACGTCATACCTTAGAGTCCGTTTTCCCTTACTTGCCTTTAAGATCATTCCACATGACAAGTGGAATCTCCCATACTCCTGGATATGCCTTGTTAGGACAAGGTGGTATCATACAATCATGAGATATCTTGTAATCCAGGGTGTAGGGATAGGACGGAGGTCTGTTCTCATATATTGGCATACTTGAATCATATGTAAAGTTGGCATCATACAGCATTGAGAACATATTGTTCCCTCCTATAGCAAGGAACGGGGCTCGGGAACCTAAAAAAAACAGTGTTTAGTCTTTTCCCAATGGCATTTGTTAAGTACCAATTTTCCCAGTGACAATTTCCGAAATGTAAAATTTCTCAACTTCCGAAAGGCTAAGTAAGGCCTTCTAAGGCGCTGTAGCCTGCAATAAGGGCTGAGCGCTGCAGCACGGATGGACTAGGGGGGGGGGGGATCTAGAGCTACGACTAGAACAGAGTTTGGAAGTTGATGCTTGATAAATTGCACATTTGGGAGGTTGCCACTTGTGAAAATACCTTTGGGAAAATGCCTTTGGAAAATTACCTAACATGAAAATAACCTTGTAAATCCTAGAATATTAGGTTGTGATATGTATGTATAGTAAGACCCATAAAACTGTGGAATAGAAAGACGATAGTTTAAGCAATCTTACGAGTATATAATCCTGTTATAAATCAAATAGTTTTATCAGTTGCTTTACAATCAACATATTAAGTAAAATGGGTCTGCTTCAACTGCACAAATGCTATATTACATGTTCTTTGGACTATTTCAAATCACACATGTCTTGCTATATCACAGTTTAATGGATTCGTGTGCATTATGCCTATGTGATAATATGTAAGCAATTATGTTTTACCCGATTTTGAACTTCCTCAAAGTGCGACACATCATTTAACATAAAAAACACTTATGCAATGCAATAAATTGTTAAACCACAGGAAATATAAAGCTGCAATAATTATTCTGAATTTTTAATAAATTACTTAATTAATATTTAAATCATAAAATACTAATATTTATAGATTGAAAACAAATATTAACATCCTCTATTGAAAAAAGCACAGTAATGAGGAACACATTAAGGACCAACAATTGAAGAGACATCGGCTTGAAAGCACAAAAACATATTCATCAGCTTAGAATAGAATCAAACTTTAATTATTACATATTTTCTCACCTCTAATATCTTCTCTGTCCACACCTCCATATTTAGAAATTATTTCTCTCTGTCCCGCCACTTCCTTCAACCATTTATCCTTTATTCAACAACAGTAAACCTAGTGTAAGTAGGAGGGGGAGTAAGTGAAGGGGGAAAGGGAGTAAGTGGGAAGGTGGAGCAGGGGAGAGAAATAGGGTAGGGGAGCCCTCAACCATTTATCCGTAATTTACCAGCAATAAACCAAGCTAAATTCCATTTTTTTCAGTATTCCCGCGGTTTCCCGGAGTATTTTCAAAGTTAAACCAAAGAAAAAACTCGGTAAATTATACGAAAATTCATTCGTGACCAACCTTTTTCTCCCTGGTAACTTTTTGTAATTAATCAGCTTCACATTTTAAAATATTTAGCTCAGTTTCTTAATTAGTGTGATAACTTTATTGAAACCATTAGAATTCTGCCTCCTCCCAACCCACAAACCAACAAAAAACTTGCCGACTAAGTTCAAATTAGGAAACATTTTACAGCTTTAACCAATTAGATATTTGGGGTGGAGGGGCTGGGATCAAACTTGGCAAATGGACCACACAGTGGTAAATTATAAGTTCCTCCAGATGAGGTGACATTTACAGATATACAGGGTTACCCACAAAGGATGAGACTGTGAAGACGACCGGAAACTATTAAATATGACGATCCCAAGGTTAAAATATTTATTGTGCTTAGGTATCTAATGGCTTATTTAATGATTTGGTAAAGAAAGAAACAATCAAGTTTACAGTTGCAGGGAATCGTGAATATATGGAAACAGACTGTATAAATTCCACTCAATTATCTCTGAAGTCTCATCCTTTGTGAATAACCCTGTATTCTCCTTGAAGGGTTCAATCTCGCGCCAATTCTATAACATTTAAACAACATGGCTTCAAACCTACAACCGGCTGGCCAAGGGTTGGTATTTAAACATAGATATTGTAAAAATGTGAAATTGAATAATTTTTTTGGAACTAAAAACTAAGATGAAAGGTCAGTGTTCCTGGTACTAGTATAGTTAACAGGAATGGAATGACTAGAAGATATTTCATTGACTAAACATTTCTCAGACGAAGCAGCTCAATTTAATAAGAGATGTTTACTAAAAACCATGACACCCCCCCCCCCCTGGATTTCGTCTACAGCTAGTGAAGGTACCCATAAAACTGCTGAATAAAAAGACGATTGATTTTTCAAGTTGGAATTTGAATAGACATAAATTCCATTAATTGTGCAGTGAACACACACACAGACCAATTAGCTAATGGTAAAACTGTTTTCTTTCTAAAAACATCTATCTATATAATAAAACAAAAAAATTTTATAAATGTTCCCCATAGCTGGCCAAACGGATGGACAGAATGGGGTGAAATTTTGTGAGTGGGTAACATAGGCTAAAATATTTTTTTCAACATTCTCCCTTCTCCACAGTATCATAGGTTCCTCTGTCTTCTTGTATTCTCTATGATACAGAATAAAGATTTTTATCCTGATCGAGAATAAACCTGAATAAAAATATTTATTTGTTTGAACTGTGTTTACGACATTCCGGGGTTGTAAGTCAGACAGAGTAGAACTCATGATATTCAACAGTTTTGAGATTGTGGTTTGGATTAATAAAAGTCTTTATATTGTTCCAAGGGATTAATTTGGTTTTACCCAGGAAACACTTGGTTCAACTTTTTCATAATTAAATTGATACAGCCTTTTATTTTTATAGTTGGTTCATTTTTTCATAGTTTAGTTGATACAGCCTTTTATTTTTATAGTTGGTTCATTTTTTTCATAATTAAATTGATACAGCCTTTTATTTTTATAGTTGGTTCATTTTTTCATAGTTTAGTTGATACAGCCTTTTATTCTTATAATTGGTTCATTTTTTTTCATAGTATAATTGTTCAGCATTTTCGTAGAATAATTGGTCTGTAACAAATATCGTGTAAACATCATATTCTGTAAACCTGCAGTACGTTGTACATTATTAACAATCTATGTTTGTAAACTTATACATAAAAACATTATTCATCGAAACTGCGTTTTAATTGAATATGTAGCATGATTAGCTTAAACATGGGATATATAGTGATGTACATCTTAATTGCGCCAATTCCATCTGTTCTGTTATACGTAACATGATTGTCTTAATCATGTGATATAGATAACGACGTAGGAATTGTAATGATGTCTATTATCTTTAACTTGCAACATATAAACCGAAAATACATTAGTTGATATAGTAACTTTGTACTGTTTGCTGCAATTGAGGGTAATTGTTCCCTGTGTGGACCTTGTCCTGGTTGAGATTGATAGCAGTATGGTTGTACCTGGATAGATGTGTTTCGAGGACTAGTTATGGAGTAGGCATTTATTACAGGTTAAGCTTTTTCAAAGTATAATTGGTACTGCCTTGTATCAGTATAATTGGTTTAGCCTTGTCATAGTATAATTGGTTTATCCTTTTCATAGTATAATTGGTCAGCATTTTATTAGTATTATTGGTTCCACATTTTCATAGTATAATTGGTCAGCATCTTAATAGTAATTGGATCAGCTTTTTCATAGTATAATTAGTTCAGCTTTTTCATAGTATAATTGGTCAGCATTTTATTAGTATTATTGGTTCAGCCTTTTCATAGTATAATTGGTCAGCATTTTATTAGTATTATTGGTTCAGCCTTTTCATAGTATAATTGGTTTAGCCTTTTCATAGTATAATTGGTCAGCATCTTAATAGTAATTGGATCAGCTTTTTCATAGTATAATTAGTTCAGCTTTTTCATAGTATAATTAGTTCAGTCTTTTCATAGTATAATTGGTCAGCATTTTATTAGTATTATTGGTTCAGCCTTTTCATAGTATAATTGGTCAGTATCTTAATAGTAATTGGATCAGCTTTTTCATAGTATAATTAGTTCAGCCTTTTCAGAAAAAAATTGGTTCAGCCTTTTGGAATACATTTGGTTCAGTCTAATCAAAATATGTTTGGTTTAATCCAATTCGTATTTATGATCCATTTATACCAATAGTCTATTTATTCATATTTGGTTTCAATTTTTGTTAGTAGGCTCGCAAGAAGATAGAGCAGGCACCTTTTCGGCGCCACTTAATCACGAAAAATGAAGATTTTAAAATCTTAAATATTGTAACACATTTTCTCCTAAAACCTGCGACTGGTTTTGACACACACAAAGATTACACTCCATGGTAAAATAATCCAAGTCGGGGAGCATTTTTACCAGGGGTAATAAAACCTGAATACAAAACATTAACTTAAGGGATTATCACTATCCNCCCTGGAAAATATCGTAAGCTGCCCCTGCAACCACAGCCCTGCGTGCATGGCGGGCTTTAAATGACATAGAACTTGGTAACAATATTTTTATGGATCAAGTTTGAGGAATCTAGCGCTAGGTTTGCTTCCTTAGAGAACTGTTCTCCGAAACTGTGAGAGATACTAAAGGATGCAATCTCATGCCCATCTGCATACAGGTTCTGCACCTGGAGCAAACAATGCCGTATAATCATCATCATAATCAAAGAAATATTTGGCTAAAAACTTTTTTTTGCAAAACTCCTAATTGAACCATAAATAAACGCAGTGTTCAGAAATTTTACCAAGAAATTGATCAGTACTGTTTGATTTGGATCTAATATTGATCGGTACTGTTTGATTTAGATCTAATATTTCTTAACCCTCACCATGAAAAAAAGAAAAGTCAGAGATAAAAAAAGAGAAAAATAGTGATGTTGGATTCTTAGTTTTATGTATTCTAAGCCCTTTTCAAAGGTTGTAAACATACACTTTAAGTGGATTGAGTCTTTGCCACAAACTCTGATTTTTCTATCCCTGATCACTGCAACACGATGTCGTAGATCTTTAATTTTTCTATCTGTAAATATTGTTAGATTAAATAGTCTAAGTTTAAAGTACTTACGCCATCAGGTTGAAAAGATATAGGGATTATAAAATTGAGTTTCTAGCAAAAACTCAATTCCTTTCCAAGGAAATACGGCAAGATTAAAGCTTGGATTATGAAAATTAATGAGTTCTCAAGAATTTTATTGAAAATGTCAATAACAAAAATTAACTCAATATCTCGTAATTATCTATCTTCCTATATACCTGAGAATAATCTGTCCACTCATGATTAACAAAAAAAGTTGCTGATATAGGACAACCGTTTGGGTTTACTCGTGTAGCTCGCTTACTGGTAAACAGCTCCTCATAAATTCTTAAATTAGAAAAACAATTATTACAAGTTCTTTGATTGAATATTTTTTCAATAAATACTGAGGGCAAAACTTTTGGATCTTAAACCTGTAGCTTCAGCGCTCAACCGATTAATTTCTCCCTCAACGGTTCAATCTAGAAGTTAGATATCATATTCATTTCTCCCTCAACGGTTCAACCTATAAGTTAGATATCATATTGATTTCTCCCGCAACGGTTCAACCTCGAAATTATATTTCATATTCATCTCTCCCTCAACGGTTCAACCTATAAGTTAGATATCATATTGATTTCTCGCTCAACGGTTCAATCTAAAAGTTTATATCATATTCATCTCTCCCTCGACGGTTCAACCTAGAAGTTAGATATCATATTCATTTCTCCCGCAACGGTTCAACCTATAAGTTAGATATCATATTCATTTCTCCCTTCACGGTTCAACCTAGAAGTTAGATATCATATTCATCTCTCCCGCAACGGTTCGACCTAGAAGTTATATATCATATGTATCTCTCCCGCAACGGTTCCACCTAGAAGTTAGATATCATATTAATTTCTCCCTCAAGGATTCAACCAAGAAGTTATATATCATATTCATCTCTCCCTCAACGGTTCAACCTAGAAGTTAGATATCATATTTATCTCTCCCTCAACGGTTCCACCTAGAAGTTAGATATCATATTGATTTCTCTCTCAACGGTTCCACCTAGAAGTTAGATACCATATTGATTTCTCCCTTAACGGTTCAACCTAAAAGTTAGATATCATATTGATTTCTCCCTCAAGGCCTCAACCTAGAAGTTAGATATCATGTTCATTTCTCCCGCAACGGTTCAACATAAAAGATAGATATCTCTCTCCCGCAACGGTTCAACCTAGAAGTTAGATATCATATTATTCTCTCCCTCAACGGTTCCAACTAGAAGTTAGATATCATATTGATTTCTCCCTCACCGGTTTAACCTAGAAGTTAGATTTCATATTGATTTCTCCCTCACCGGTTTAACCTAGAAGTTAGATATCATATTCATCTCTCCCTCAACGGCTCAACCAAGAAGTTGGATATCATATTCATCTCTCCCTCAACGGTTCAACCTAGAAGTTAGAATCTCTCTCCCTCAACGGTTCAACCTAGAAGTTAGATATCATATTATTCTCTCCCTCAACGGTTCCACCTAGAAGTTAGATATCATATTCATCTCTCCCTCAACGGTTCAACCTAGAAGTTATATATCATATTTATCTCTCCCTCAACGGTTCAACCCAGAAGTTAGAATCTCTCTCCCTCAACGGTTCAACTTAGAAGTTAGATATCATATTTATCTCTCCCTCAACGGCTCAACCTAGAAGTTAGATATCATATTAATGCAATTTTATGGATCTTCCGCGATTTTAGAAGTTAGACATCAAAGTTTGTGCTGTGCATATCAAGTGAAATGGCTGAAGCGTTGCGCTATACTTTACTTAAGTTTCGCCCTCTGCTTTTATTAACATAAATAATGTTTAAAATTCAGTAATAATTTGTTTTCCTGAAGTTTAGATCATTTACTGAATCATCTGGAAAGATTAAAGATACTTGATACAATGATGAAATAAATTGATATTATTTGATTTTATACAAATTAGATTTATCTATCAAAAAGGAGTATAGTTTCACTAAATTTTCTCTTTAAAGAGAAATGGAACCCAAGACATGTTAAGAGTAATTGAAAATGATCAACACACCTTTAAAAACATTCAGGGGGACATTGTTCAAACCATCCCCCCCCCCCCTTTAAAAACATTCAGGGGGACATTGTTTAAACACCCCCCCCCCCCCCTCTAAGATGACAGAATCTGTCGACACAGTAAGTTATTATTATCTTTGATTTCCTAAAGAAAGAAGAACTAGTTGAGGTATTGTTTGATATGAGAGGTTGCGTGGTATTTCAGGTCCTCCACATCTACAGTTAGGGGCCAGACATGCATCCTTGTAGCACTCCTAGGCAATATTTAAAGTATTTATTAGCACGATCATCTTTTTCATTATTAATATCCTTTTTCTATCGTTTGGTCATGTCATGGTTTCTTATAAATCTTAAGCTTATCATTCCCTCTCTCTCATTTTTAAGTGAAGTAAATAAGTTTTCAGGTTTAATCATGCTCCATAAAATCTGTTGTTTAGCATGATAAAATCGTCAAGGTCAATACCTTTGCCAGCTCCTCCTTGTTCTCCTCAATTCTGAACCTGGAGAGAAGTTCTAGTATTTCATTCTTTGTGTTCTCCAGGTTCTCTTGAGTTCTTGATGAACTTGTTCTAATTCTTGAATTATAATAGTTATCATCTGGTTCTTCATATTCGTCCCAGTAGTAGTTATCATTTATTACAACCTAAATACTATATTAGTAACTAAACATTGACCTTATCAAAGAATTATAATGTAAAGATAGTTATTTCAGAGGTGTGCACATTTTTAGTACTGCAGTGTACTGTCTCTGGGCTGTAAAGTAAACACAAGACGGATGTCACAGCCTGACATGGGATCCATTATTCAAATAAAACATCAATAAAATAATTTGGTAATGAAACAATTATGTAAATTATGAAAATGTTTATCCTCCTCAGATACTAGAGTAACACTGACGCGTCTATTCTTGTTTACAAACACCGCCCAGCGAGAACTGGTTTCAATATGTACGCAGAGAATGCGCAACAGCAATTAACTTTCCTTGCCTTATTACCTTGGAGGTTACCAACAAAATTTAAACACGTTAAAACTTTCCAAAACGTTTTGAATGCAGACCCCTGGTGAAACAGTACACGAAATATGAAAATTATAAAGTTTGTAATCTTTCAAGGAAATATAGGTGTAATTTCAATCCCCAATTCACAACGGTGCCCTTGAACACTTTTTGTAGAGAAACTACAACAAAAAATCAGACAAAGATTTTAATGGTTTCGTTGTTAATCGGGCATTGCCATGTCTTTAGATGGAAGTTAACTTAAGATTGCGCCATCAGTCCCTTTAATTTGTATTTTAAATTGCATGAACTATGCCCAGCCCACTCCTATCTCTAATATCTGAATTATGGGGACTGTCGTAGCTCGTATAATTTTCATAATTTCCTAGTTAAAGAATTCCTATGTTTAAACCAGAGAGTCCCCTCTACCCTACCCGTTTAGATAATTTACACACAGACATAGTACACACATAGTTGNGAATGAGTGAATAAGGGAGGGCTAAAACAAAATAAGAGATAAAAAGAAAAAGAAAAGTATTGATGTAGTATTTTAAAACAAGAGAATCAAAAGAAACAGTTTCTTGAAAATGTTCAAAGAAGATGGGATGAAAAAAAACAAAAGAGAGAAAAAGAGAAAGATAAATAAAGTCAAGTTTACAAAATTAAAACAACGAAGAAAAAATTGAAATGTTAAATTAAGAACATTTCATTCAGATTTCCTTCCTCTTTTTTATTTCTTCTGCGCCCCTTTTATATCGTGCGATTATCCAGTGTTTTATAGATCCCAGCTAGCATACCACTGGATTCTCATTCTTTATGGATCCCAGCTAACATACCACTGGATCCTCATTCTTTATGGATCCCAGCTAGAACACCACTGGATCCTCATTTTTTATGGATCCCAGCTAACATACCACTGGAACCTTATTCTTTATGGATCCCAGCTAACATACCACTGGATCCTCATTCTTTATGGATCCCAGCTAGCATACCACTGGATCCTCATTCTTTATAGATCCCAGCTAGCATACCACTGGATCCTCATTCTTTATGGATCCCAGCTAACATACCACTGGATCCTCATTCTTTATGGATCCCAGCTAGTATACCACTGGATCCTCATTCTTAATAGATCCCAGCTAGAAAAGCACTGGATCCCCATTCTTTATGGATCCCAGCTAACAGACCACTGGCTCTCTTTCTTTTTGGATCCCAGCTAGCATACCACTCAATCCTAATTCTTTATAGATCCCAGCTAACATACCACTGGATCCTCTTTCTTTATGGATCCCAGCTAGCATACCACTGGATTCACATTCTGTATAGATCCCAGCTAGCATACCGTTGGATCCTCATTCTTTATGGGTCCAGCTTTCATACCACTGGATCCTCATTCTTTATAGATCCTAGCTAGCATACCACTGGATTCTCATTCTTTATAGATCCCAGCTAGCATACCACTTGATCCTCATTCTTTATGGATCCCAGCTAACATACCACTGGATCCTCATTCTTTATGGATCCCAGCTAACATACCACTGGATCCTCATTTTTTATGGATCCAAGCTAACATACCACTGGATCCTCATTCTTTATGGATCCCAACTAGTGTACCACTGGATCCAAATTCTTTATGGATCCCATGCAGCTAGCATACCACTGGATTCTCATTCTTTATGGATCCCAGCTAGCATACCACTGGATGCTCATTTTTTATGGATACCAGCTAGTAAACCACTAGATTCTCATTCTTTATGGATCCCAGCTTGCATACCACTGGATTCTCATTCTTTATGAATCCCAGCAGGTATACCGCTGGATCCTTATTCTTGATAGATCCCAGCTAGCATAAAACTGGATCCTCATTCTTTATGGATCCCAGCTGGCATACCACTGGATCTTCATTCTTTATGTGGATCCCAGCTAGCCTCCACTGGATCCTCATTCTTTATGGATCCCAGCTAGCATACCACTTGATTCTCATTCTTTATGTGAATCCTAGCTAGCATCCCACTGGATCCTCATTCTTTATGGATCCCAACTTGCATACCAGTTGATGCTCATTCTTTATAGATCCCAACTAGCATACCACTGGATCCTTATTCTTTATAGATCCCAGCTAGCATACCACTAGATCCTCATTCTTTGTAGATCCCAGCTACCATACCACTGGATCCGCATTCTTTATGGATCCCAACTTGCATACCACTTGATCCTCATTCTTTATGGATCCCAGCTACCATACCACTGGATCCTCATTCTTTATAGATCCCAGCTTGCATACCACTGGATCCTCATTCTTTATGGATCCCAGCTAGCATACCACTGGATACTCATTCTTTATGGATCCCAGCTAGCATACCACTGGCTCCTCATTCTTCATGTGGATCCCAGCTTGCATACCACGGGATCCTCATTCTTTATGGATTCCAGCTAGCATACTACTGGATCCTCATTCTTTATGGATTCCAGCTAGCATACAACTGGATCCTCATTCTTTATGTGGATCCCAGCTAGCATACCACTGGATCCTCATTCTTTATGGATTCCAGCTAGCATACTACGTAAGTAAAAATCATACAGTTATCTAATTAGATGGTTAGGAACATATTTCTCAAAAGAAATTTGTTAATAAATCAATGCTAGAATAAATTATTTCGTTTTCATCATTATATTGAATTTCTTATTTTGTTTGAATTCATTCGCAGATTTCTTCAAATTCTTCAAATGTCGCCTTTTCAATAATAATTCCAGAAAATCTGCAGAAAAACTTTATGAATAATGAGAAAATAGAAACTAATAATTGAACAAGATTACTTATTTTAGAAGATAAGATTAATTTTTATTTTCTCAACATGATCCTATACATGACGTCTGTAGTTTATTGTATAACTTTTACATTTTATGTCGTCGTTATTGCATAATTTAAATAAACTAATCTGAAAACGTATCCACCCCCAAAGTAGGGGGTGGATACGTAGTATCCTAGCTGGGATCCATAAAGAATGAGGATCAAATTTAGGATTTACAGATCTTTAAAAAGTTTAATATGTCTCAAATGAATCCGAAAGAAGTTTTCCACAACACCATGTATACTCAGTTCAACTGCCTTACATAGCCGTTCACTCCAGTTAATACAAAATATGAAGTTACTAAATATCTAAATATTATCAAAAGTGAATTTCTTTATCTAGAATAATCAGACTAGAAACTTTTTGTTCTTGTAGAATAAATGTTCTGGGGTTAAATGTCGGGCCAAGGTTCTTAGAATTATTATTGTAATTTCTTCAATGAAGCTATCATTGAATCAAGCTTCAAAAATGTCCATGTCATGCAGTCAGGCAGAGGTTTTTAGGCTTGGATACCTGTACTATACATTCAAGCAGATAATTGTTAGGACATGCAATTCGTGGAATCTAAATTTGCCAGGGAGAATCAGAAAACATGGAATACATTTCTAAATTTCCGTGGAGAATAATAAAATGTGGAATTTACTTATCTAAATTGCCGTGGAGAATCAGAAAACATGGAATACTTTCCTAAATTGCCAGGGCGAATCAGAAAATATGGAATACTTCTCTAAATTGCCAGGGAGTATCAGAAAATATGGAATACTTCTCTAAATTGCCAGGGAGTATCAGAAAATATGTAATACTTCTCTAAATTGCCAGGGAGAATCAGAAAAAATGGAATACTTCTCTAAATTGCCAGGGCGAATCAGAAAATATGGATTACTTCTCTAAATTGCCAGGGCGAATCAGAAAATATGGAATACTTCTCTAAATTGCCAGGGAGTATCAGAAAATATAGAATACTTCTCTAAACTGCCAGGGAGAATCAGAAAACATGGAATACATTTCTAAATCTAATTTCAAAATGCCAATTCAATTGAAGTAACTTAATACTATTGGAAAATTAATATTAAGTAATTTTTGTTACTCTCAATTTTTTTGGTCTATACTACCTTGAAATTAGGTAATTTTGGAGCAGAAAATACAGAATAAATTCTATTCATAGACCATATATGTTTCATGTATATGTATATAATGATATAATATATACACGGATAATAATTTCATCTTAAATTCTAATCTCAAATCTTTTATTCTTCAGTTCTTTCGTTTATCCGTCTACATCTTACTATGTAATTTAAGCACACGGCACGTTTAACCCTGGTCTTTTTGGTCCCCAAAACCTTGGTCTTCTCCTCCCCCTCCCTTCTTCCATCTTTTCATCTCTGATTCTTCATTTCCTTCTCTTCCTCCTCTTGTCCATTCTCATTTGTCTCTACTTCTCATCCTTCCTCTTCTTCTCTCCCCACTTCCCTCCCTTCCCTCCCTTCCTATACTTCTCATCCTTCCTCCCCGTTCCCCCCTCTCCTTTTTCTCATTCTTCTCCTTCCTTCTTCTTCCTTCCCGCCTATCCTTCATAATTTGTTCATCCGTGTCCTTCCTTTCTGCAACTAATACTTACCAGAGAGTCCTGCAGTCCTTGATATACTCCAGGATATGCTTCTAGAAGTTCTTTCTCCAGATTGCTCGTGTACTCCTCCGACAGATCATCTTCTTCTTTTTCTTCTTGTTCATCATCACCTTTATCTTTAGTTTATTTTAGTTTATCACGAGTATTAACAGAATTTTTTTAAACTCTTTCAATATAAATATCTTTACTGAATGTTTTTTTAAAAGAAAAGACTCGTTTAAAAGGAGAATATTGGCATAGTTTCGACTGACTTTGTAGAGTGGCATATTCGATTCACAATATACCCTTCAATCCTGTGTCTTTTTCTTTGACATGCCAATAAAAGAAGGTCTTTTGAAATTACGTTTACAGTCCCTTAAATATTGATAAACAACTATTTTTTTGTATTTACAGTGGTAAGCGATTATATCAAAACATTGAAGATAATCTTTTTATTCAAGTTTTGATTGGTAACAAGATTTTTTTTCGTATTACAAGTTTACAATTAATCAAAGAGATTTTTTCATCCACAGCTTCTCTTGACTCCTATGTTTGTGTGAATCCATCCTGTTTAACAGCTTGATATAAATTAAAATTGACATCGAAAGTCACCTTTATTGTATTGACATAATCGCCTACCACTGTAGAAAACTATAAATGGTCAAAATAAATTTTTTTGGGCTCGATTTCTTGAATAAATAGACTTATGTCTTTCAAGCATTCATTCCTAAGCAATGTCAGTGAACCATGAATTTATTCTGTATAATGGATGAGATACCTGATTTTGCTGAAGTTCCTAAAAACCTTGCCCCGAATTCTATCCTCACAAGACTTTCTGAAAAATTTAACACTTAAATTCAAGTTTGAACTCACAAATTCAATGTGCTTCGCGGATGGACAATTCTTAGAAAACCATTAAAATCTATGATAGGATAAAAGATAAAGTTTTCATTTTGAAAACAGATTGTTTCAAGAAAATATTTAAAAATATGATTCAATTACATTGCAGGGCTATTTATTTTATTTTGTCGTAACATGAGATTTTACACTCCCATCGTTTTTTTAAATTGACGACAGAAAAGTCAAACAATTTGACATGGCTTGACGATTTGTATAACAATCTCTGAGAATGGGTTGCCACTTTTTTCTCCTCATTGGCTAGATATATAGCTGTATCATTTCTGAATATAAATGTAAAAATAAAACACCTGTTTATACTGTTCTACAGTGAGAATAAACTTTTTACCGGACCAACCAAAATACACTTCATACAGTTCATGTGTAGTTCTTATCGTTATTTGTTGTAAAAAAAAGCTTTTTATGCAATACTCAGATTGAACAGTTACTTATAAATGAATTTAACGTAAACAAAAGACGACTTTAATCATCCTCCTATAAATCCCATGTATTTTAGAATCTCCTTGTACCAAATCTGCTCTGTTAGAATTGAATAATAAATCTAGAGTGTGCAGAGAATAAGGATGAGTATCTGATTCTTGGACAGTTTTATGCTAGTTCTTTTAATATATTGCTGTCATTTCAACAGATAGCTCTCAAACCTTGATCTTACTTTATCTTAGCCCATCATCTCAATCCTTACTAGCACCTAATCTTACTTTACTATACCTCCAGCAATCCATCCTGTTAACCCATGCCTCTACTTCTGTTTTTTCCTTGATTTCCATATTGTCTATCCCCTGATCTAACTCCTTTCTTTGCCATTGATATCCATCTTGACTAGCTTTTGATGTTTCTGCTTTCTTACCCTCGATATCCAATATCCATTCTTTATAGCCTTTGTTCTTACTCCTGTCTAGCTCCTGATCTTACTCCTGTCTAGCTCCTGATCTTACTCCTGTCTAGCTCCTGATCTTACTCGTGTCTTGTCCTTGATATCCACCCTGTCTAGCCCCTGATCTTAATCCTTTCTTTGTCCTTGATATCCATCTTGACTAGCTTTTGTTATTTCTTCTTTCTTACCCTCGATATCCATTCTTTATAGCCCTTGATCTTACTCCTGTCTAGCTTTTGATCTTACTCGTGTCTTGTCCTTGATATCCATCCTGTCTAGTGAACGTATAAAATGCCTTTTCTTGCTGAAAAAATAGGTGAATTTTTTATTAACATAGGTATGTATGGTAGTTAGCAGATACTTTTCTTATAAAAGTATAAGATTTTTTTGTAAACTTGTTGAAACTTTTTTATCAACATTTATTCAAGAATTTATTTTTCAATTCCCCACTACCCTCACTACCACCGACAAATTGAAACTTTTTTTTCAACATTTATTCAATAATTTATTTTTCAATTCCCCACTACCCTCACTACCACCGACAAATTGAAACTTTTTTATCAACATTTATTCAAGAATTTATTTTTCAGTTCCCCACTACCCTCACTACCACCGACTTGTTAAAACTTTTTTATCAACATTTATTTAAGAATTTTTTTTTAATTCCCCACTACCCTGAGTTCTACCATTTATATACAAATCAATACACATCTTTATTTTTAAAATTTAAATTATTACTACTTTAACTACCATCTATTTACCTGACTTAAAGCTAATGTGAAAAATAAGGCATTTTATACATACAGTCCTGTCTATCCCCTGATCTTAATCCTGTCTAGCTCCTGATCATACTCCTGTCTAGCTCCTGATCTTACTCCTGTCTTGTCCTTGATATCCATCCTGTCTATCCCCTGATCTTAATCCTGTCTAGCTCCTGATCTTACTCGTGTCTTGTCCTTGATATCCATCCTGTCTATCCCCTGATCTTAATCCTGTCTAGCTCCTGATCATACTCCTGTCTAGCTCCTGATCTTACTCGTGTCTTGTCCTTGATATCCATCCTGTCTATCCCCTGATCTTAATCCTGTCTAGCTCCTGATCATACTCCTGTCTAGCTCCTGATCTTACTCGTGTCTTGTCCTTGATATCCATCCTGTCTATCCCCTGATCTTAATCCTGTCTAGCTCCTGATCATACTCCTGTCTAGCTCCTGATCTTACTCGTGTCTTGTCCTTGATATCCATCCTGTCTATCCCCTGATCTTAATCCTGTCTAGCTCCTGATCATACTCCTGTCTAGCTCCTGATCTTACTCGTGTCTTGTCCTTGATATCCATCCTGTCTATCCCTTGATCTTAATCCTGTCTAGCTCCTGATCTTACTCCTGTCTAGCTCCTGATCTTACTCCTGTCTTGCTCCTGATCTTACTCCTGTCTAGCTCCTGATCTTATTCCTGTCTAGCTTCTGATCTTGTCCTTGATATCCATCCTGTCTATCCCCTGATCTTACTCCTGTCTAGCTCCTGTTCTTACTCCTGTCTAGCTCCTGATCTTACTCGTGTCTTGTCCTTGACATCCAATCCTGTCTAGCCCCTGATCTTACTCCTTTCTCACCCATGATATCTATCTATTTACCTCCTGATGTTACTTTGTCCATCTCCTGACTTCCTCCTGATATTTCTCCTGTCGATTCCTAATATTTCTAAGACAGGTCCTTGTTTCTCCGAACTCCTTACTGTTGGATTTACGTATATAACCATAACACCAAATTATACAAATAAATAAGAATGCTCCAGAGTTTACCCTAAACTTTCCTATCTCTTAATTTAGAAAATTTCACTAAAAACAAAGCTGAAAATCTTCTATGATGTTTTGTAATTTAATTACTAACGTATAGAATCAAAATTATGTCGTTAATCTAGATAAAATGTAAACAGTGTAGGTAATATATTTATGAAGGGAGGCGCGAAACTTCCAGAATACCATAATCCATCCAACAAACCTGAACTATTCTCCTTGAGGGTGTCATCTTCTCTGGTCTCCGTCCAAACTTGGTTTTTATTCGGTTTGGTCTGTTTCCTAGGTTGGCGGTAGGAAACCGTATCAGGATCTAGAGAATCCAGAGTCTGAAACATTAATAAACTTCAAATTAGTTGATTACTTTTCAAAATATACATCACTCCCTTAGAAGCATCTTTAACCGTTGATTTACATTTTAAAATTCCTTTAATTCATTTTCGGGATTCATTTCTCCATACTGAGAGTGCCAAGAGAAGAAGCATTTTAAACCATAATTAATATTTGACAATCTAAAGGAATTTAAAAAATTTGAATTTTTAAAGTTGGTTTAATATATTTGTTTCACAATAAAAATATGTTAATCTAAAATGTTATACACCCCCCCCCCCAATAAAAATGCTTACACTGGGTTGTTCTACGAATATGGATTCAGCTTGAACATAAATGTTTTCTTTGTTGCTCCGTGGATTCCATTTAAATCCAGTTTGGATACCTACAGGTTGGATACCTCCAGGTTGGATACCTCCAGGTTGGATTCCTCCAGATTGGATACCTCCAGATTGGATACCTCCAGGTTGGATACCTCCAGGTTGGATACCTCCAGGTTGGATACCTCCAGGTTGGATTCCTCCAGGTTGGATACCTCCAAGTTGGATTCCTTCAGGTTGGATACCTCCAGGTTGGATACCTCCAGGTTGGATACCTCCAGGTTGGATACCTCCAGGTTGGATACCTCCAGGTTGGATTCCTCCAGGTTGGATTCCTCCAGGTTGGATACCTCCAGATTGGATACCTCCAGGTTGAATTCCTCCTGTATTTAATAACTCTAGATCAAACAAAGAATCATGTTTATACGGATTTATGACAGACTTGAGATGAAAAGGTTCTTGATCAGGAAGTTGACGATAATCCTGATATGCTGCGCTTCCTGATACGTTCTCAATATCATAATGAGGTGTGTATTGTCCGCCTTGCACGCTATATCCGTCTTGTTGGCCTTGAACAGCTTGACTGGTTGGTTCGCCTTGCACGCTATATCCGTCTTGTTGGCCTTGAACAGCTTGACTGGTTGGTTCGCCTTGTAAATCTTGATTATCGTATAGGCCTGGTTCACTGCTTAATCGTTGTCCCCTTTGACCACCGTATCTACCTCGAACACCTTGATTACCTTGACCGCCTTGTCCGCTGTGCCCGCCGTGTCCGCCATGTCGACCTTGTTCTGCTCTATCCACTGTAACACTCTGACCCTGCTGGGCACTCTCATAGCAATCTACATTCCTGAAAGAAGAAAAATTATGACGTGGTATTTATATCATATTTCAATGTCTATCTAAAAACCAGGACCATCAAAAAAAAAAAAATTCTTGGTTTCGTATTTTTCAACTAGTACCGCAAGTTTTTGTGCAGAAATGCTGTTGTGATACTAAAATAAAAAATTGTTTAAAATTTGTGGCATTGAAACTATGTAAAAATATGGTTCATTCAGAGGCGGCAACTTTGGTTAATACCTTTTGTTAATCTACAGTTTTATTCAATTTTGATTCAATATCCAGTGGTAGTCGTGATATCGAGATCAAGTGTTCTGGATTAGGGGTATTCAACACAAAAGTTCCAGGCTCAGGAAATATCACTTCCATAATGAAAGATACCCGGTTTCAAGTTTTGAGTTCCAGGCTCTGAAGAGCAGGGTACTCAATGCAGTGTGCATACCGGTCAAAACATAAAGAATAATAGTAAACTAGTATCAGTACAATGTGTTTGTAAACAAAGAAAAGAATTTAAGTAAATTCTTTTGTTATCAGATCCAAACATTGTTCCAGAAAGACAATCCTTTTCAACCCGAAGACATTCCACGGGAGTATGAACAGTTAGATATCTATCATGCTGAACTAGCTCTAGATTATAGTAACCGTCCTCCGGAGTGAAAGAGAACATTGTACTGTACCGAATTTTAGTTTTTCGTCGTTGCCCGAAAAATTGTTATTTTACAAGGAGTTTTATATACATTGCCCAATGCTAATCTTGCCAGATTTGAATTCTAAATCAATGCTGTGTTTACTTTATAAGCGTTTCTTCTAAAGGTAAAGATTAAGTTAATCTTGTATCTGTAAAATGTTGTTAAGCTTCAGGATGAAATAGAAATATGAAAAAGTGCCGACTCTATTATATTTCTCCTCTCTGGACACCGTCATCGTTTTTATCTGTTTGTTACCAACAATTTTAATAAATTTTTATCATTTGAGTTCCACACAAACTGGGAAAGAAAAGTTTCAAAAAAGCAAATAACTGCATGCTTGCCACAAACTCTACTTTTCTAAATCGTAAATCTTTGCAAACTTATGTCTTGTACCTTCCGATGAATCTAATAACCAAAGTTGAGCTTATTCATAGGCTTATACTATCATGTTTCAAAGATATAGGGATGAGACAATTAGAGTTTGTTGCGAGTGTTCAGTTCATTTTTCCATCTTTGTTTTCTGTTACTTTATAAGTGAAAATATGTGATAAAAATTATTGAGCCCAAGTTTGTAATGCAAGGAAAGTAATTTCAGAGGTGTGCGCATCTTTTGTACTGCAGTGTACTGTCTCTGAGCGGTAATGTAAACACAAGACGGATGCCACAGCCTAACAAAGGATCCATCTCTCACATAAAAAATCAAAGAAATATTCTGGCCATAGGAAACTATTATGTGAATTATCAAAATTATCAAAATTTAATGCTTTAAACCTCATCAAATACTAAACGAACACTGATGCATCTATACGTGTTTACAAATTCCGCCCAGAGAGAACTGGTTTCAATATGTACGCACAGTATACGCAACTGCAATTAACTCTCCTTGCATTATAATCTTGATTGAGCCTAACAGTAACAATACGTTGGAATGATTTTGACTTCTCTGGACAAGGGTTTTTGGTTTTTATAATTATACCTCGGCCAATCACAAGTCTGTAGTTGTTGACTAAACACAAGTCCCCCTGAACATATCTCTAGTAGTGCAGTACGGTACACGCACACATAATATCTAAACATGTATTCATTAATCTCTAGTAGTGCAGTACGATACACGCACACATAATATCAAAACATGTATTCATTAATCTCTAGTAGTGCAGTACGGTACACGCACACATAATATCTAAACATGTATTCATTAATCTCTAGTAGTGTACGGTACATGCAAACATAATATCTAAACATGTATTCATTAATCTCTTGTAGAACTGTACGGTACACGCACACATAATATCTAAACATGTATCCATTAATCTCTAGTAGTGTACGGTACATGCACACATAATATCTAAACATGTATTCATTAATCTCTAGTAGAACTGTACGGTACACGCACACATAATATCCAAACATGTATTCATTAATCTCTAGTAGAAAAGTACGGTACACGCACACATAATATCTAAACATGTATTCATTAATCTCTAGTAGAACTGTACGGTACATGCAAACATAATATCAAAACATGTATTTATTAATCTCTAGTAGTTGTATACGGTACACGCATACATAATAGATAAACATGTATTCATAGTGTAGTACGGTACACGCACAAATAATATCTAAACATGTATTCATTAATCTCTAGTAGTTGTATACGGTACACGCATACATAATAGATAAACATGTATTCATAGTGAAGTACGGTACATTAATATCTAAACATGTATTATTTAATCTCTAGTAGTGTAGTACGGTACATAAATATACATTGACTTGGAACCGCCATATCTGATACGTCAATTCTGTTTACTGCATTGGTAGGAGATTAAAAGAAAGAATCCAGGTTGATGTTTTTCATCATTTGTGTCACTTAAAATCTTGAAAATATAAACTTAAACATTTACCTGGAACAATCTGAAGGATCTGAGTAGTATCCGAACTCCTGAGGACAAATAAACCCTAAACCTAGATAATCAGAGTAAAGTATCCGAACTCCTGAGGACAAATAAACCCTAAACCTAGATAATCAGAGTATAGTATCCGAACTACAGGGTACATGTAAACCCTAAACCTAGATAATCAGAGTATAGTATCCGAACTACAGGGTACATGTAAACCCTAAACCTAGATAATCAGAGTATAGTATCCGAACTACAGGGTACATGTAAACCCTAAACCTAGATAATCAGAGTAAAGTATCCGAACTATAGGGTATATGTAAACCCGAAACCTAGATAATCAGAGTATAGTATCCGAACTACAGGGTATATATAAACCCTAAACCTAGATAATCAGAATATAGTATCCGAACTACAGTGTATATATAAACCCTAAACCTAGATAATCAGAGTATAGTATCCGAACTACAGGGTATATATAAACCCTATACCTAGATAATCAGCGTATAGTATCCGAACTACCGCGAAAATATAAACCCTAATCCCAAATATCGATTAACAGAAATAATTTCAAAATTACATACAGTTTGTTAGAATATGAGAGTTTTGTTTTATGTATTGAGATAATTCTTACAACCATTTTTCTAAACAATGAGTTTTGTTTTTAAATCTATTAATGGATAACTTATAAACTCTATCTAGTATCTATCTATTTACCATTCTTGGTTTTGTGTTTGTAATGTTGCCCAGAAGAATGTATAGGAGTAGAATTATAAAAGAAAAGGAAATTTTTTGTCCCAACATATTAGTTTATATTACATTTTACAGGGTGCACTGTATGCAGTAGGTTTTTGAGCGATAGATTTTTGTAATTTCCTTAAAAATATCTACTGTTTCATTTTCTGTGATCATGGGATGATTTTCTTTATCCCTCCTACGCAAACCAAATTGAAAGAAATATTTCAATACCAAAAGTTACACACACCTCTGCCCCCTTAGAAAAGTAAATTCAACCTATATGAGGCATAAAGTCTGACCAGTGACCACGTAAACCTTGTTGCACCGGCTAGTCCTGTCCATAGAGCTAGGTACAGTACAAACTGGGACAGTAAAGACTGACCCGGCTCGGAAATTCAAATGTACTACGGCTGCCCGTGGTTAATATAGAATATTTTTAATGAAAATTTGTTTCAACGAATGAGTTTATGTAATATTCTTAATTTTGAATATAATCAAAAACTTGGAGTAAATAAATACCTGATTTTACGATTTCACTTCCAAGTATTAGAAGAAAAGATAATAAGGGAAAATTCGTCATCTTTATCCAACATTTTCACCATAAAACAACAATCATAGCTTTTTATTTTATATCTATTGATATTAAAGGTTTAAATCTGAAAAAAGACACAAAACACGTAGTGTAGGGAAGAAAGATTAAATTTGAGTTATTTTCTATATGTATGCCAAATTTTATATACAACCCCCCTCCTCACCCTTCATAGGAATGTAAATGACAGATGATTATCCCGTTTTATGGTTTAAATTTTATTGCAAAAATGACAGGAATATTATGTTACAAGATTCTAGAAACACCTCGCCATTAAACCTATTTTAATGCACTAAAAATTAACCTTGAATGTTTTTTGAATTTTAGCATATTCTTGAAACTGTGAAAATACTTTAACAGGGTTGATAAAGATCAAAACAAAAAAGAAAGCTTAATAATCTTGTCTATAGATCTCGGTTACGATACGGTTCTGTTTATCGTTCAGGTCTCTGACTCTAAGAACACCTAGCTAGGGAAAATTGAAGATAGGTGAAATTAATCCGCACAATTTATTTCCCAGGCGTAAACAGGAATATGTCTGCAGGAAGAGTGTAAAAAATATCAACGTAATTTCTATGTTCGTTTTTCCATACTTTTTCACAATTCTAAATGTTTTACCCTCTGTTAAATTTCAATGAGGGGGCGGTGACCGCCCTGGATGTTGTTTTGAAAAGGGGAGAGTGAAATCGTACAAACTCATTCCACAAACAAACCTCTGCACGGTACAGTGAAACCCTTAATAAAGAATACATCGGAAGGATTTATCAAATGTCGTCTTGGCAATTTTTCAATGAGTTTTATACTATATGACGTAAATTTCAGTATTTGCGAAAATAAGTAAATAGCCATGAATATGCTGGAACAGTTTTAAAGAGTTCCATATAATCATTTAATTAAAAAACTAAATATCTGCAACATTCCATTATTAGAAAGTGAAGAATACTACATTTGATGAATTCTTTCGATGTATTCGTTATTAAGGGTTTCACTGTAGTAGAAATATATATATATATATTCACTAAACAATAAAGTTCACATGAGGAAAATACCTAGCTTACTGAATACTACACTTCATTGTACAGGAGGGAATACAAGGATGGGTAGATAGATAAGAATAGCATATAGATAGATAGATTTCTTTACAGATAGATAGATAGACAATAGATAGATAAAAGGGCACTGGACAGGTCACTTTAGGCCACATAGTATCCCACCATTGTAACTATACACTAACACAAAATAAAAATCTTTAGTCAAAAATTCGAATTTTTCGTCCGAGCAAAACATGATCTTTTATTTTTTACAATTATACAAACGAATCAGTTATACTGAATTTTTTAATTTAAAAAATCTAAAACATTTTTACNCCCCCCCCCCCCCTTGGTCCAAAGCAGGTCTACGCTAAGAGAAACTCTTATTTTCCGTAAGAAATGCAGATGCTCGGACTACAGGAGAGATTAACATGAAGAATGTGTAAATTTATTCTTGAGCTGTAGCAAACCAAATAAATATAGTTTATGAGTAGAAGATAGTATTAGATAGTGGAGAGGGATTGAGATGAAGGACGGAGGAGGTATAAAAGAGTTGTGAAAGAAAACGTAAATAAGTTGAATTGCAAAAGTATCCGGCGTTGCCCGTGCTCATCAGGGCTGTAGCCCATAATGCAGTTGTCTCGAAATTGTCCAATGCTCAGCAGATTACGCCATCTGCCCCGAAACGGTTATTATTAGGAATATATTACCTATCCCACAGTAAAACCAAAAAACTCTGAAACAGGAAGACAAAATTTCGACTCAATTTACGATTTTAAAGGGACTGTAAAGGAAAAATGAAAGGGGGTACAGGCTGAAAGCTAATCACTTTTAGCTCTTAATCGCGACCCATGAAAGTTATATCTGATGTTCCTATCTCAAGAAAATGATTTACAACTTTGTCAAATTTATACGAAAATTAATTTATATACAATTTTATATAAAAGTAGTGGGTTTAAAAAGATCAAATTCAGCAAATAAGCAACCAATCTGAAAACGATGATATCCCAGAGAAAGCTAATTGTAACTTAGGTTTACTCCAATTCTAATTTTATATTTGTTATTTCTATATTTTTATAGACTTAATTCATAATATTATTTATACGTCCGTATTGCTTGACCAGAAATTCCACCAATGGCAGTGCATTAAAGTGGTCACGTGATACAGGCGGAGAAACGTGACCAGTATACTGCTCTGCCATTGGTGATAGTTCTGGTCACGTGATTTAAGTTTAAGATATTCTAAATTTTACATATATGAACTTTCGTATAATTTCAACACAGTTTTATATTAATTTCTCGAGACAGGAACATCAGATAAAACTTTTATGGGTCGCGATCATTAGCTAAAGTGATTAGCTTTTAGCCTATACCCCCTTTCTTTTTTCCTTTACAGTCCCTTTAAATAGCCCAATGTACATCAGACATAGTAGGTGTGTAGTGTGCATAGACCATTAAAATTCATAAATGATTTTTATTCAAACTTCTAGTAAACTTTTTGCTTAGTAAAAGACAGAAAGGAAACAAAAGAAAATCAAAAAGAATTTTTAAAAAAGAGAAATCAGGAAGGAAAGTGAAAGACCAAGAAGAAGAAATCAGGAATAAAATTGAAATAACAAGAAAGAGAAATCAGGAAAATGAAAGAACAAGAGGGAGAAATCAGGAAAGTAAGTGAGAGAGCAAGAAGAAGAAATCAGGAAGGAAAGTCAAAGAACAAGAAGGAGAAATCAGGAAGGAAAGTAAAAGAAAAAGAAGGAGAAATCCGGAAGGAAAGTGAAAGAACAAGAAGAAGAAATCAGGAAGAAAAGTGAAAGAACAATAAGAAGAAATCAGGAAGGAAAGTGAAAGAATAAGAAGGAGAAATCAGGAAGGAAAGTGAAAGAACAAGAAGGAGAAATCAGGAAGGAAAGTGAGAGAGCAAGAAGAAGAAATCAGGAAGGAAAGTAAAAGAACAAGAAGGAGAAATCCGGAAGGAAAGTGAAAGAACAAGAAGAAGAAATCAGGAAGGAAAGTGAAAGAACAAGAAGAAGAAATCAGGAAGAAAAGTGAAAGAACAAGAAGGAGAAATCAGGAAGGAAAGTGAAAGAACAAGAAGGAGAAATCAGGAAGGAAAGTGAAAGAACAAGAAGGAGAAATCAGGAAGGAAAGTGAAAGGACAAGAAGAAGAAATCAGCAAGGAAAGTGAAAGAACAAGAAAGAGAAATAAGGAAAAAAATAGGTGAATTAAAAAGAAAGGTAAGGTTCATGGGAAAAGGTTTAGAAACAGAAAGATTGATAGGAAAGACACAGGATTAAAATTTTAGTAACTAACAATTCTTTGCTTTTTATTTTCTTGAAACAAAAAACCAAGACAATTGTACTGTACAATGTACAATGTACTATCAAATGTTTCTGGCTCTGCCGTAATTAAAATATTGGTATATGACTATATGGTAAGTAGTTGGCTAGATGTAGAGTAGTAAAGACGTGAATAAATGAATCTTTTAACGAAGTCTAGTTTAATGAAGGGTTGAATGCCAACTTCTAAACTTTGCAATATAAACTACACGTGTTTTATCTACACATATAAAATATATGATCACCCTGCACCTTAATACAGTGTATCTAAAAAAAGTCTTACTAAAGATATAACAGCGCAATGTCACAACCATGGTGGTTTAAAAATATTACTATGCAATGTTTTATTTTATTTGTGTCCACTGTCCATCCATTTTTTTGAACATCCCGTCTAGTATATGTTTTCTTGAACATCCTGTCTAGTATATGTTTTCTTGAACATCCTGTCTAGTATATGTTTTCTTGAACATCCTGTCTAGTATATGTTTCCTAGACTCAGGTTTGATATAGTAATGATCTGATCTTATCTAAACGCTTTGTCCGATAATATTCTCAATTAGGCGCATTCTGCCACCAAGGGGTGCAGGCAGGGTAGGGGGCTTTATTCTTCCGGCCAGGGGTGCACTGTGTATATAAGGAGCTAACAGCAAATATATGTAGTAGCAGGGGGGTTTATTCTTCCAGCCAGGGGTGCACTGTGTATATAAGGGGCTAACAGCAAATATATATAGTAGCAGGGGGGTTTATTATCCAGCCAGGGGTGCACTGTGGATATAAGGGGGGGGGGTTCGCAGCGAATATAACGGAAAATGTTTTATAATTCTGCCAGGAAGGGCCGCACTGGTGGCGTAGGGGTGGGGGTAGAGGGCTTTATTCTGCCACCAAGAGCTGAACACATTGGATAAAGGAGATGAAGGAAAGGGTTTTATTGTAACTTTAAGTGACTCAATCTTGGCCTTAATATTGGCCTCTATCTTGGCCTCAATCTTGGCCTCAATCTTGGCATCAATCTTCCTTTAAGGGCATTAAGGGTACATTTGGAGGGGTCCTGTTTAGATGCTGCTCAGAGCCCGGGATCAAAGGAGGGGGATGTTGATTTTTTTTATGGGATGTGTATTGTGTATTGTGTATTGTGTATGCCCCTTATGATGCTAGTTGTGTTAAGATATATTATAGTTACCAAGGTCAGACAAGATATTTGTGAACTCTACTGATTTATCTTCAAATATATCAGATATATCAGCACATTTTATTATGTATATATATATAGATATATATATATGTAATAAATGTAGTAGTAAACCCCATATTTATAAACCTGAATACACCTAGATATATTGTACATTCTCTGTAACCTAACTACACTTGTCAATATTTATGTAAAACCTATCGTTCCTTAAACCTAACTATGCTTGTAAATAACATTTCGTTTAAACCTATATTCAGTTCCTGCCCTCCTCCCATATTCTATTATGAAGATCCTGCCCCCTTCCCACCCCATCTTCTATATTTTGATTGTTCTGAGAAATATTTGAAAATATACTTGGATTTACAGATTACAGGGTATACCATACATTGTACAAAACACAAAGGGGGGATATATTTATATAGGATTCAAGGGAACACACACGAATATTTGAAACATAATGTAAAATACAGTGGGACTCATAAAAATGTTGAATATGAAGACGATGG